TAAAAAATATTTATTAAATTATTTCAGGATCTTTTGGATATCGATTTGAAGTATATTATTGTGCAATATTATATGAATTATCAAAAAATAAAAATGTATTAAATACTTTGAAGTTTGGTTGTTATAAACTTAAAAGCTTACTTATCTACAGTAATGTTTCTACTTATAATTCTACAACTATTCACAACAATAAGAGTTATTACAATTTATGATTATAAAACATTCGTATCTTCTTTTGATCGAGAGAAGAATTATTCTTACAACCATTTTATCATTCTTTTGTTATAATATAGTGTTGACTATTTTCAGCATTTCAATGTACGTATGTCGTCATCATTTTCGAAAGTTTTGTGTTCATGTAAAATCATAATAATAAAATAATAATAATAATAATAACGTACGCACTGCGGACAAAAAAAAAACTCGGACTAAAAAAACAAATATTATTATATGAGACGAGCTGTAGAGGGCGGCGAATTATAAAAATAATAACACAAATATATGTATATACGTATATATTATATACATATTATATTATATATACGTGTACGTATTTGGACGGACGTTTTGCCCCAGTCGGACGGACGTGAGCGGAAAAAAAACAATCGTAATAAATAATGAAATGAAAAAAATATATCAGACCGCCGTGGCGGCGGCCGCTGCCGTTGGAATAATTAATTACATACACACACACCCACACACACACACACACACACACACACACACACACACACACACACACACACACACACACACACACACACACCCATAGCTTGCGCGCGCGCACACTCACTTACACTCGTCCTCGTTTTGCCCTCTTCTGCTCCTGTTGTCGGTAATTTTTATTATTTTTTTGTCGATTTTTTTTTTTATAATTCTATTTTGTTTTTTCAACTCGTATTTTTGTTTTGTCCTCCATCATCATCATCATCGTAATTTCTCCCTCCCCTCATCACGCCAGGAGAGAGGCGATTCTAACCCGGACGGTCACTATATATTATATACAACCTAACCACAAACGTATATAATATAATATATATGATGGTACGCCAGTTACAAAGGGGTCCGTTATTACTGCCATCGCGCAGTAGCGATCACATTCGTAGTAGGTAGGTGCCTATTATGTATGTTAAATCCATAATATATGATATACGTGTATAGGAAAGTTCGCATATTATTTTCAAATACTGCGAATAGATTTAGCTGAATGCCGGAGTTTCCATCACACCGTATAATATATACTTATACGTGTGATATAATAATGTTATTAAAGTTATAAAAAAAAAAAAAAAAACACGGTACAATTATTTCAGCGACGGCACAAAATAATATTATTGGTGGCGGGTGCGTTACTATATACTATACTCACCACCGCCTTCGAGCTTATTACCCCCCCCCCCCCACACCATCGACGTCAGCGGTGGTGGCGGCGGCGGCGGCGGCATCGGCGGCGCCGCTTATTTGAATTGCTAATTACCACCACCTCTCTCCTTTCCTCATAGCAATGTTACTACTGCCGCTGCATGCAGCAATTATTGGATTAATGTAAATGAGCACCGACGGCGTACCCCTTTTCCTCTTATATATTTATATGTATAATATATATAATATATATATATATATATTCGCTTTTGTATGTACACACACACACACACACACACACACATATATATATAACACACATATCTATCTTTGTATATATATATATATATATTGTATATGGACAGAGGCGTGGATAGGGGTAAATAATACGGCGGCGGGAATACGAATAATGTGCGCGAGAGGCGAGAGATCGTCGGCGGGCGGCGAGTAGATGGGTAGCGTAGTACCCTTTTCTCTCGTACACACACCTCCCTTGTACCGACGACGATATATAATTATATACTATAGCTTGCAGTATATACCAGTGGCGGGTGGTGGAGTGAAGGCCGGGTGGGGATGACGGTGCGGGTTGGCACCCCAGCAGCAGCACCGCCACCGCCGCCGCCGCCGCCGCCACCACCACCGCCGAACGGGCTGGCCCAAGCCGCGTCGGGATATATAATTAAAATCCGTCCGAGTCGCCGCCGCTGTTGATTAATATATGTAAATTTATTATAATACAATAATAAGATTACCGCCGACGCTGCCTAGGCCCAACAGTTCTGCCGCTGCTTATATTTTATATTTGATGCCTATATATGTATATATATATATGTGTGTGTGTGTGTGTACGTATATCTCGTAACGGCGCGGCGGCGACGGTGCAGCGGCGATGCTTCAATAAATCCTACTCTCTATTCTTCTTCCTGAGAAAATGTTATACGTTTCGATAGAATGCAATAATATTTATAAACGCATTTGACTTTCTTCGAGTTTTTTTCATATAAGTACGATGCAATATCATAACCTTCCTAGAATAAAATATACGTCTACACGACAACGGCGGCGAAAATTTATTACCTTTATAGGTACCTACAAGACGCAGACGAAAAAATGCGATAATCGTAAAAGTGTGATAAAAATATATAATAATATATGTATCAGAATTTCGGAATAACAGTGTAAAACGATAACGCGTGGGCGTGAAACTTTGTGCAAGTCGGGAGTTGCAGAGCGATAATTAAAACTCGATTGTACCGTGATATATATGCGTAACAGTGAACTATGTATACGCGTGCTACTTATGTCACTATATTATACACCATAAGCACTGTAAACGTCATATTGCACGATACTATTACAGTGGTAACAGTTGTTTCTACCAGTGTGTGTGTGTGTGTGTGTGTGTGTGTGGCGTGTGCACGTGCAGCAGCATCGGACGGAGGCCGGAAAAATATTATCGAGAGGCGCTGCTATTTTATGAGAATTGACCGGTTTCTGATGGAATCGGTGGCGGTGGAGGTGTGGGAGGAGGTGAAGACGGTACAGCGATGGTCGGACGATGTTCGGACGGTTAACAGTGACAGCATGCAGTGTTGTGCACCGAGGATAGCGGGAAGAGATGAAATTATAATTACTATCAGGTCTGTCAGTTCGGTCGTGTACAACAGAGGATAGTGCGTATACGATATATATATATGTAATTATGTATATACAATACATAATATATATATTATATATATATATATATTATATAGAGAAGAACATATACGTGGCGGCGGCAGCTACGGTGACGACGACGGAGACGGCGACGAATGCCTATGTAGTGTAGTGTATGTATATACAGTAAAAGGAAAACGGAGAGAGCGAATAAGGGGCAGTGAGAGTGGCGGAGGAGAGGGTTTATGCGTTGTATGCCAGCAGGTCGGCGTGATGCGGTGGCGGTGGTGGTATATAGGAACGGGGTGAACGCGTCGGTCGGTTGGGAGAATGCATGTGCGTGTGTGTGTATGTGTACAGTGGCGGCGGTAAAGGGTTGGTCAGTCGACGTGGCGGTATGAAATCAGGGTACAGGGCCGAGGCAAATGGGATTATTCACCCTCCTCCACCACCGCGACCGCCGTTCACCACCCCTAGTATTCGGTCCACTATTACTATTACGTCATCTAATTATAATATCGTACCCTTCCCTATATATAATATATATAAATACATATATACGCATATATACATATATATATATATACTGTTTTCACCATTTTCGCCACCCCCACCGGCGCCGGTTCTATAAACGCTGCAGTACTAACAGCAGACCAACGCCATTACTACCGCCACCACCGCCACTATTACCACTTGTCTCTTTGCCCCTTACCCCATGCCACGTCACGATTTTATTGCGTGTTCACCCCCGGCGTGCACTATCTCAATGTATACATCTCATTTACGCAGCTGTGTATGTATATGGAAAAGCTATTCTTTAATATATATATATATGCAGGTCGTAATCATTTGTATAACTATTTTATCATTTTTCAATAAAATTGGAAAATAATGTACCTACTCTAGAATACTATAATATGTGTGCCACGCAATGTATGTCGATATATTTTGGAAGTAAGCTTGATTTAATAAGGCGGGCAGAGCGATTTCCATTCAAATGACTTATTATAGACTATAGTATATACATTTGAATTCGTTAAAGCCAAATCATCTGAAAGTTTTTTTGTATTTACTTTAAAATAAAATAATAATTTTAAAAAATGCATAATTTATTAAAATATCAAATGACATATTTTTTAATCCGATTAAAAATAATAATTATAAAATTGTATATATTTCCATAACGTACTCATCTAACCGTAGACCTATGTCGTCGTCTGATTTTATTTAGAGAATAATTTTATCATAACATTATTTCAGATACCTACCTATGTTATAAACTTATAAACTATTATGTATAGCGATACTGTTATAGGTCAAGTCATCGTAGTTTGTATAGTAACGTTTATTATTGTTACCAAACATGACTATTGTGTACAATACACGGCTGGTGAAACTGACCTACCCTTTTAAAAATACGGCGGCACTGACATAACAACAGGGAATAAGATTGAGTGTGGAAGGTGCAGGGAAGGTAAACGTAAAAGCTGGCGGCGTCATATTATTATTATTATACTGCCGCCACCGCCGTCGCCACCGCCACCACTGGTGCCGCCGCCGCCTTCGCCGCTACCGTTTCACCCTTGCAGAGAAAAATTACGTCGTCATTGTCGTCGACCTCTGCCATCACTACCACTATTCCAGCACGCCGCACCGCTGTAGCAATATCAGCTTAATAACTTATTTTCAAAGCTTATTACTCGCCACTGCCTTTTAATCTCTGGGCTCTTATATACATCCCCGACGTCGTCATCGATTCGATCGATGCTAAATTATTGCAATAGTAGTTTTCATTATTATCACGTAGACTATTTTTTAATATAAATACCGATCGAATCGATAGTAAGAAACATAAATAAATAAATGAATATTATTACATTATAGTGTACCAATAACAATAAGCGATATTAAAGCTCGCAGACGCTATTATTATTATACATATTATATACTATTATGACGTATCGGAGAGAACAACGTACCTTCTTATTGTGATGTGCAGGCGACGGCGAGGACGGCCCCCCTTCTGGGTATTGTTGGTTCGGGTGACTGCTAGGTCTCATCGGTGAATCGTCACAATCGCTCGCGTCTTCGCCACTATTGCTGCTGTTACAACTGCTGTAGCTGTTGCCGTTAACGCTGTTGCTAATGGTGTCGAAACAATCCATTGATGACGATTTGTCGTCGTGCCGAGGGTAATGGTGTTTGCTATGTCGATAGTGACCATTGATTATAATATTTGTCTGCGAATGAAGCCGACGGCGTTTCAAACAGTTATTAGTGGCTTCCGAGTTGTCGTGAAGAGGAACGTCTTCTTGTTTTTTTGCCGACGTCTGTGGCAACAGTGGCGATACCTTCATACTCGTGGGTGATAGTATACCTAGGTATATTTAATATACTTTCGATGCAAGACAATTTGATTGAGATTTATTTCATCGACGTCCTGAAACACACATACACACACACTCAATAAATTGTATAGTTCAACTGCGCGGCGATTAAATAGAAACATCTCGTATAAACATTGTAAGAGTTCCTATACATTTTAATTGGTCATACAAACGTCACAATATACGATATGTTGTAGCTAATGCAGCATCCGCCTTATACATTGATATATTATACGACACTAATAATCGTCCGTTTAAAATTTTATTGGTGGATAATACATGCCAATTTCATTCTATTCTACTTATATTATCACTGTCATTTACTTATAGTCGTCGTTATAAATTATAATATTATAACGCATCGACGATGTAATAATATTTGAGCGGATGCCGCCGGATAACGTCAATTGACTGCCACTGCCACCGTGTACCACCGCTCCTGTTCTTCTCTATCGTCACGATATTATTAACAATGACCTTAACCATACTCGGACACCTCATCATGATTTAAGTAGCAACTACCCCATTGAACCTAGCTCTCCATTGTCATATATTATATACAATACATACATACATACACGTATTATATTTCGAATCTCCACTACAGTAATTAATTTATGGTTGAATTACCATATTATATGTTCGTCTGATACATAATATACAGTATATTATAATAGTACCTATAGGTATAGTATATATCTACCTATTCTACCTACTGTGATAATCTTTGGTAAAAATTAATTATTTAATGGAAAACGTAATTATACTACGTCATTTTTAGCCCATTAAACACACTGTACGCATATAGGTACACATACACACATACACACAGTCTAACGCGCACACACATACATATATATATATATATATTTTTTTTTTTTCTCTTTGGTTAGTGAGTAGCCGGAGGCAGGAACGCTGCTCCCTAAACTCGTAATTTTTAAATTATAATTATAACTTATAAAACGATGTGAAATCGATTACTATTTTACGACGATGGTATTATAAATAATATTATGTTTATAATTAAGTAGCCTATAGTGCAGTGGTACAGTACAGCCGCGTTGTGGTCATTATAATAATAATAATCATAATAATAATAATGATTATTATTATAATTCAAATATTTTAGTATCGATACCTACGTGCGAACGCACGTATGTATAATATACTAGGGCGTGTTGTAGTAAGCGATTAAAATATCAGTTTATGTATCTACCTATATACGATGTATGAAGGCAAGGCAATAGATCGTTTAACTTGAAACACCCTCAACAAACTAATAATTATTATCATCAATGCTATGATTATTTTTAATGCTGGCATGCTGCTGCTGCAGCTATTTTCTTATAATCCAAGTAAATTATTATAGTTATTATTCAATAATTATATAATTACCATCCACAAACACAATCATAGTACTATAAAGATAACAATACATATATTTACCTAATAAAATTTATAGAAATTAAAATAAAAAACTATAAAAAAAAACACTCTAGGTACACAATATAGTTTACCCACATTCAATATTACCTATTGAAAAAGTACCATCTAAAATGGAAATAAAATAGGTGATAAAAATCAATTTATAGGTCTTTATTTCTTTCTGTTGTCTTGTATATTGTATACGATGAATTATATAATTTATTTTATGCATACTGCAGTCCTATACAATTTGTATAATTGTCAAGTATTCTTAAGATGTATATTACCTATTGCAGTTACAATTAATATATTATAGACTATAGTTGACAAAAATTATTGGCAAAAAATAAAAATCAACAATGTAAAATACACTGTATTAAAAATATTTTTATAAATTGAAAAATAGCATGCTTTATATAATGATGGTGTGTACTCACCGGTGTAAATAGTTTCACAAGCCGTGGCCGTGGTCGTCAATTAATTAATCAATTATTATTATGGTAATTGTGCCGGCGCCGAGTTGCCGAGTCCCCTGCTTGGTCAAAATCAATGTCCTCCAAATACATATACCATAATAATAATAATAATAATAATATGTATTAGAATACCGAGCTAACGTGTTCGGCTCTTTTCGAGATCAATTCAAATGCAGTGACGTCGTTATTCGTGGGGCGAGCGCACAATATGCAATTATTATTAATAATAATTATCGCGCGAAAAATCTCATAATGACACATTCGGGTGCCAATCGCTGTGGAACGTCGTGGGACGATTATTTTAGTCGTTTGGATAGTATTACAACTGTAATTAATATAATATGTTATTATTTTTTATTAACTAACATCGTAACGTTTAGAACATGTGTCATCCGAAATATTGTAATAAATAATAATAAAACAGTGTTATATGCCGACTAACAAAAAAAGGTAATAATAATAATGAAAGGTATAGTACGATCGATTTATTTTTACAATAATAAAAAAAATACGTAAGCCACGCAGCGGGGCCGAATCGGAATCCTGTTTTCAAAACAATAATAATAATTATTATGATATTAAATAGAAAGCGACCACCACCGATACCGGCCGGTGAGGATCGACGGGGTGACGCGTGTAGATAGTCGCGATCGTTTTACGACGATATTATAGTATAACAATATTATTATTATTATTATTATTGTCGTACCGTTCGAATAATGCGCCTGCGAGTGCTTTCAGCGTGAAAAACGATAGTATTTCTTATTATATTATTATAATTATTATAATAATATTATTATTATTGTTACGGCGATGATAATACACGTTCGTTGCCGCTGCGGTGGACAAACCATTACGCGGCGAAGGACCGCTATCAACTGCCACTGCCGCTTGCTACTACCACACAACCCCGATGACGGCGGCGACGGCGGTGGCGGCGGTGGTGGCGGCGGCGGCGACGACGACGACGGCAGAGACGATACAATAATTATAATTACGTCGGCGCATGTATACGGCGCGCGCAACACACCCGCCGCCGCCACATCGTCAGTATTTTACACTACACGGTACATAATACATATTATAATATATAATAAATTATTATTTATATATATATGTATATACATATACACACTCACACACGCATATATATGTATATAGGTATCTAGCTATATATACATGCACGCGTGTGTGAGTGTATATGTACACATCTTCGTGCGTGTAAAAAAACAACGCTGCAGTGTTATAATATTACGATGATAAAATAATAATATAATAACTGTTACGATAAAATATTTCGATGTTTCGATTTTACGAGGGAAACAGACGCTTAGATATGGACGATGATAATATTATTATATTATATAGGTACTATTACTCATTGTGATGTGTGACGGTATGACTATAATATGTATATTATAGACAGGTAGGTATAACTGGAAGGTATATTATTATTATTATTATTATTATTATTATTATTACTATACAATATACGCTGCACTGTAGTACGAGTGCGGTGTGCCCATAATATTATAATATACGTTATAATGAATATCGCGTGACGAGTGTTGACTACAATATATTTTTTAATAAAAATATTTGTCTTGTTCGTACTATATGCTTTTCTAAATCAAAGAGAGCACTCACACATTCACTTACCAGTCATCAGTCGCCAGTCATCAGACAATACACTTACCGAAGACACGGTGCCAATGACAGTGTTGAGAGGGAAATGTGTGCTCTACAATACTAATTTATTAATTAATTAATTATTCGTCGCTGCCCTCTTCAGTACCTATATATTATATGTGATGGCTTATCGAACAGTGAAATCCACCTTGTTGCGATTCTATCTCTGACCACCACAGTATCACTCACACACAGCCGTCTTGCATTTTCAGCACAAATATGTATTCAATATAATATTATCTAGATTATTTTTGATATTAATAAATTAAGAATGTTTTAACTGTATAATAACATGTTATATGTATAATATATTATTATAAATTATATTATGCGTATTATAATAAAGTAGTAGTACTAGTTTTACCTATTTTAAATTAGTTCCTTTATGTGCATAAAATGAAACTTTATAACCTTTTAATGAAATACATCCGGATATAATTAAGTTATAGACCCTAACTATAGTTGATATATAGTAACTAAATTGTGGGTACAACGTAAGTGGAGATTATTAAGTTATTAAATCCAGGTTGGATCGAGTAAAAAAAAAAATATCAAGTAGGAAATCCATCGGAGAATCTAACTTATTTTAGTACATTTTTCCTATTTTGATGTAATTATCCGAACATACTATTATTATGGAACAGATCTGTAAAATCGTATTAAAATTAAGTTACCTGCATATTGTTTTATCATCATTTGTGTTCGACATGACGACGATAGTTACAATATTTAACACTATTGATTTTCATACTTCATAATATTGTATAATACATACATTTTTACTAATAACCAACCAAAATTATAGTACCTACCTATATATTGACTGTAATGACGTTGACACGTTGCGACGACCTACGAATAAATAAGACGTCTTTTATATGGTTTTCAATTAATATTAAGAAAACAACGTAAATGCTCGTTATATATATATAATATATATACAAAACACTAGTCGGTTGACGGTATTACTATAATACTATACGTTAAGTCCACTATATATAAGTTCTATCATTGTAACAATATAATTTATGTAGGTACCCATTACCCATAAGTCATATTCTTATTTGATACAAAAAAACGAAACTAATGTATTATTTTCAAATCTAAAATAATATTTTTAAATACTTTATACTTTTTTATTTGAAGAATTTAAAATTCAATTATTAATATACAAGTTCTTCAAACTGATTTAAACTTCGAATCGGTATATTTTCAACTAGAACTTAAAAATAATTATTGTTAATAAGTACCTATGTATTAAATGTTTTAATTCAATAACATGGAAAGTTATATATTTTTTTTTTTCAATACTAAAATTGTTTCTCTTGTTATTTATTCTATGATATTTATTATATGAGTTATTTATTTTAACTAAAAATATTACAATAAAATTTAACTCCAAAATATTATGTTTTTTTTTCCGAAATATAGTAGCATTATTTTAGTTAGTTGCCATATATTATTATTGCTATTATATCATTAGGACATTTTTTTTCGATTGGAAAAAGGATGGGAGTGAGTGGTACGTTAAAAAAACAATTTTAAAAAATGACATTCCCCTCCAGTGGAAAACCCAGTAAAAATATTATTTATTACCACCGTCGTGGCCCCAATATAGACAGATAGATGGACAGACACGTAATAATTTTACCATATATGTGTTGTATACCGATTACTGGTTGATTAATCGTTTTTTATAAATGCGGCAGTGGTCACATATTATATTAACAGAGAAAGAGAAAACCCAAAATTATTACAAATAATTATTAATTATGGAGTATCGGTATCTGTGATTGGCAGCTATGGTAAAAAATAATATCAATACAGAAAATTATAATAAAAGACAAAATGGATCCGCAATTCTAATTTATAGCAGAAATATTTTAGTTCGATTATAGAGTGAAAAATGTATGTATTATTAAATAGTTATAATTATTGTCTATAATATGCTTATTAAATGTATTTGTTGTAAAATCATTGCATTTTTGATAAATATAACATAAATTATAAACCTTGTTAATTATATTATAATTTTTATTAAAAACGTAACAAAAAATACTTATAATTATAGTATCATCATTCATATACATTATACTTATACATAATAATTATAAAACTTAAAGATTAAAAGATAATCACGATATACGATGTATATTGTATGTATATATATTATATATTATACCTATATACACAATATATCTTATAACAATCTCCTACAGAATATAAATAATTATCAACAAAACAATTATTTTTAAAATTACTGCTGAAACTATGGTTATACATGAATTACCAACCAAAGTTCGAGAGGAACACGAAAATACAATGTGTTTAGTATTCTGGTGATGCTCCACCGTTATTGTTACCACCGCCAAATTCGAATGCATAACCACTACCGAACGAATGCGGTTGTCGCTCGTTGCTATTGAAACTGCCATCATCTTTTTGGGAGTTATCACTGGCACCACTGTAGGCTGCATGTACCGGTGACGAAGGTGCCCGGAACGGGCTGTGACTGCTATAATCTCCGGCACCGTCGAATGCAGAAGACCCGTCGTCATCATACCTAGCCGCTAATTCGGCACTATTGTCTTCGCGCACTCTGTAGTGTTGCTGAGGCTTCGAATATTTTGATTTATATGGCGATGGTGCACCAAAAGCTTCTCCACTATTGTGATCAAATCTACCTGCGTTATTGAAATCGCCTCTGCTAAATTGAGAACCAGGTCCACCGGGGGCACCAAACAATCTGCAAAGTATAATCAACAAAAATATTGCATGATAGACTAAACGATGTTTATAATTGTATGTTATAGATGTTAAATTAAATTGTAAATATACCTACTTAATTTAATTTTTAGAGTATAATAACAGTATATATTAATGTAACGTATAGGTATACGAAAAAGTAAAACAAGTATGATATATAACTATAAAAGTTAGGTAATATTATAGTTAATATAAAATAAAAATAGAAATTTAACTTTAACTAAAAAAAAAAGTGTTTATAAACAGCGAATGAAGTTGAACGAATTGCTCTTGATGAATTTAGATTGATATTAAAATGTGATTGGATAAGTATTACATTTTTTTTTGTGCAAGCCTCAAGTTAGAATTGTGCAACCATTAGAAGAATTTAAAATTAATAATAATTGTTGAGTAACACTATATTAATTTATCGGGAAAAATAAATAAATATATAAAAAATACATTATTTATGTATTGAATTATGTATTATTATTATATAGTATTGTATTATACTGATGAAAACAATTTAATGTATCAGTGATAATCAATTGTCTTAAAATTTAACTGACAGCGAGCACAAAATTGTACTGTTTAAAGTACTTACTATTATATGTGAATAGAACTTATATTTGAACCTGATACAAGTATACGACATTAAAACATGTGGCTAATGTATTCGTACCTAGATACTCAGCAGTTACCAGTTATTTACTAAAATATAATATAATATTCAAATAATATAAATTCAAAAAGTATATAATAAATGAAAATTGTAGTAATTGACACACATATGTAATGTTAATTTTTATTGTTGCAATTTACTAAAACTACCAAACTTAGATATATTTAATAATTATACCCACTAAATTAAGGTTTTTGGCTGAGTTATCCATTTGCATGTCATGTTAAATGTACTACTATAATATATGTTGTATTTGATATACATTTTTATATTATTTCGTTCTATTTGTGTTTTATCAAATCACGAATTTCGAATGAAATTTATCAATGGATAATTGTTTCTTAAACTTACAGAAGATCAAAAGATAACATAATTTGTTAGATCTGAAAAAATCTTAATCGACCAGGTGACCAGTTCGTAAAAAATACAACATAATATGACAAAGACAGTGTTGTAGTTAAAGGGCCGTTTAAGAAAACTAATCCAGTTCAAAATATATACTAAAATGTCTTCATAAGCATTCCCGAGTGAACATTTAGTGAAATGCGTACATGCGGTAGTCGGTAAATCTATGACGACCGTCACTATAGGACTAGGTATTTAGCAGTCAGCCAAATTTTATTCGACTGTCATGCAGCGGCATACCAATGGTGGCGCAACCGCTATTTTTTAAAGGGAGGTCCAAGAACTACAAGTCTATAATTATAATATTGAAAAAAATATGTTATAGGTTTATATCAGAGTATAATGACCAATTACAATCAGCAATTAGCATGTAATTATTACAGGGTCAAAAATCAGAACAATATTTCTAACAATTGTTATAACATTACTGTCATAGAATTTAAACCACATTAAATTTACTACAACTACTATCCTGTCAGTAAAAAAATGTAATTGAAAAAAAAATCAAAATTCTTATTTTTGATAAATCTGAAATTCGCCTCGTTCCACGGGGACGGGGGTGAGGGTCTGATCCCGTATGTAGTCCACCTCCTCTTCAGTGCACCACTTCAGAAGCATACCGCAAACGAATAAACGATTGCGGTACGTATGCGCATATTTTACACACTCACATATTATTAGGTACAATGCTATATAATATTATTGTTATTTATATTATGATATATCGAGACGAAGAGTATACCTGTTCTTAGCCAATGAACGGCCGGAAGGCGGCGATGGAACGTAAGCTGGCGCCGACGATTGCTGTTGTAATGGTACCACGGACACGGGGGCTTTGGGCACATGGTCGCCCTGTATTATGCGGAAACCGTCTTTTCCAGCTGTATACTTGACGGAGATTTCTTTACCGTCGGGGTCCGTGTACGAGTAAGCTCCGGTCCGGCTTCCGTCTGGTCGGATCGATTCGCCTTGCCGAAGACCGTTGTCGGCCGCGAAAGCGTACTGAAACCCGCCGTCCTCCTGCAGCGCTTGTTTGTGCATCAGTATCACCGGCAACTGTTTACCGTCTCCGCCCCGCGGGTCATGACCGCGGAAATAATCCGCGGATCCTTCGTCCCCGCTGTACGCCGCACACGCCGTCACGAAAATCCCGATGACCAAAAGCTGCAAACTTATCGACATCGCCGGGCCCCTCTGCTCCTATATTATTTAATATAATATGCGTACTATTATATATTATATAATCCGACAAATTCATCAATAACCCGTAATTCCTATTTCTAGGTATCACATCAAAACGATTTCAATTAAATGTTAATATTATGTAGGTATGTATTATTATATAATACGCACCCACCCACCTACCGAGACCCTGTATGAATTATATACAGGAATCGGGGATGAATTCAGCTACACTCACAGACAATGTACATTTCTTAAATTAATTTAATAATCTGTACATAATTTCTTTAAAAACAATGTGGAATTGAGTATATTTGTGTGTTTGTTGGGAGGGGGAGCTTGACCCGTCTTCCCCCCTAAATCTATCCCTGACAGGTGTTCGACCTTAATGTGGATTGCTTGGTCTAGGTTTGCCTATATTCATTGGTGTACCGATATACCATTTAAAGATATTGTGAAAAATCTATAGTTCTATACATATAATTAATATCAATTGTATTCTTAGATTGTATTGAAGGTGGTTTCATATAGTCAAACCTGCAGTAGCGAGAGCTGTTATGGTTGTATAAAAAAAAAATAATCATTAAACGTATTTTCCGGATTAAACTCAAGTATCTAAGACCTAAATATACTGTCGTAATACAAAGTCATAATGCAATACTATCACATGTATGTAGAAATAATATAACGATAATGGTGCAAAATATATTATATATAGGTACGAATAAAGAAGTGTAGTGAACCGTGCGCGCGTATTTGTGGCGATGGCGGTTACAATTTGCGCAACGACATTGCGGCAGTGGTTGTCGTGGTTTATAACAACGACAATAATAATAATAATAATAATATTATGCTACCTATATACATTTATTGTATTATTGTACAATATTATACAAAGCCACGGTAGTTTTCCAATAGACAGAAAATAATATTTCATTTACATGCATTTTGCGTGTGTCGAATATATCGGTGCAGAATAGTTATAACAATATATAATATTGTACTTATGTAATCAATTGTACAGTCTAATAAATGTACTTATTTAAATCATTAAATCTTACAGTTACGATTAGCAAACACCGCCGGGCCATATAAATATAATACTGCTTTACACCGAAGAATCCAGCGGGTTGCTACTTGCTACATGCTATAATAGGTGCATGTTCAAAAATGATGTCATTTAATATTTTATGACGAAACATTACTATTTTAATGGTGACAAAATAGTATAATCTATGACTAGCGAAAGAATATTATTTAGTAAGCACAAGGTAGTTACTAGTTAATATTATATTTCGGTACATATTTAAGAAAATAATTAAAATATATTTAACTTTAGAAGGTGGCACGTGTGTTGTGTACATAGATGTTTCGACTAACTACCTACATCTATAATAGAGCAAAAATATTTTATGTAATTAGGTACCTATGTGAAAAAGATTTGAGAATCGCCGTTTACGATGTTATCTAATTCTGCATCTTTACAATCGTCCTTTTATTATCATCTATTCTATTACTATCTATATTACATGAACTTATAAAAAATTACAATGAAAATTTTGTTCTCCATTAAATTATTTTACCTCGTAAATTTTGAACTATTTTAATAGAATTTATACTTTAATAAATAACTACATTATTGTTTTAAAAATGTTTTAATATTTATGACTAAAGTAAACACCTATCTATAAAACCAACAAATAAAAATAGTCTTTTGTAAAATTTCTACTTTCTATAGTTAAATATTCCTTTTAATTAACTGATGACTTATATTTTTTACATCAATTTCTAATACTTATTATTACAATTATTGTTTGTTGAGATCAAATTATTATTCTATTAAAGGATATTGAAATTTTATTCGAAGTATGTTTTTAGTTGATACACCCAGTGAAAATATGATGAGGATCAAAATCCTTATCTACTGACATTATGTCGGGATCGGATACAAATAATTTGATTAGGTAACATGTACAGTAGAAATAAGTAATATACTACAGTTTAAACCTATATTAATTAAAAATATTAGAGATTATTTTATTGTATAAAACTATTCTGTATGTAATAAGTATACCACCATAGTAGGTTGAGTACATCAAATATCAATAGTCTACACTCTACAGTCTACAGTATCATTAAAATTAAAATAAGTTTAGTTTAATTAGTAACTTTTATAACTTACAATATTCATCTTCATCATATACAATACTATAATATTGTGGAGATTGTGATTTAGTAGATATGCTTTTTTTAAATGTTGCCGAAACTACTTTGTTTAAACTGTATAGGTACAACAAAATTATTTATACTGAAATCAAAATTATAATATGTTAAACAGTTTTTTAATATGAAAAATAATCAAGTGAAACTGGTCGTAGAGTTCGTGTTATGGTACTTATTCCTTGTTGTTGTCCGTTTTTATATTACCACTAACAATCCTAGACCGACCCCACCATTTGCCCACTACCTTTAATCTGATCGTTACAATCACCCTATTGTAATTGAACTAGGTGGCGGAAAATAATATGAAATGACAATGATGTTCTATTATATTACTACAACAACGAAAATAATAATAATAATAATAATAATAATAATAATAATAATAATAATAATAATAACAACAATAATAATAATAATTGTATTAAAATGATATAATAGAATAATAACATACTTATTTATTCAAATTCATAATATTTGTTTTATTGTTATGTAATAACTACAAAAGTTCTAAAATATTTATAAAAAAAAATGAAACTTATAAACAATAATAATAAGGCACGTTTATTAAGAACAATTCAAATTGAATATATATTTAAAAACTAATATAAGGTAGGTACCTATTTAATAATAATATTTAAAATATTGAATGACATTTGCACAATAAATTATACAACAATTTCACATGAAGTACTTCGTTTGTCAGTAATATTACATAATCTTTATGAAATGAATTCAAATGATAAATGTCACAACTTAAAAAGATTAAATAACCAACCTATTTTCATTAATTTAATGTTTAATATATATTAACTATGAACATTTACTCAAGCTCGTATTTATTTTTTGTGTTTAACAATAAAGACATAGTTTAGGATACAAATAAAGACCTATGTTTAATATACATATAATATTATATTATAAATTATAGTATGCAATATTAAAAACATACATTTTACATTTCAATGTAATTAAATATACATTTAGTGTCTAGGAGTTTAATTTTACTTTGCAAAAGTTTTATTTGTCGTTAAATGTATTATAATTGATTTCTTTTGGTTTACATCATAAATATGTTAAAAATCGATACAATTATACAAATACAATTATTGAATAGACGTAGCCTAATTTCTTAAAACCATCTTTATAATTGATAAATATTTGAAATTTATATGGTGTATTATTACAATTTTTTATCAATTTTACAATAAAAAGAAATAAATACATTGGTATTTATATTTTATACCCAATCAAAAGATAAAATTGCTATTTTACAAATATTTGTAGTCGTATGTTGGTGTTGTATGGTCAAATAAAGTATTTATACAACTTATAAATATAATTGTATGTAATAAAATAAATAAAAAGAAATTATATTGATTTGAGTAAGTATCCAAAATTATTATTATACTATTCAGGGTACTCCATGTTCATAATCTGAGAACTATACAGTGTGCAACTAGGGTAAAAATTCTAGGAGGGCTATAATAATAGTCCCGATAAAAAAATTAATATACAACCAAATCCACAGGGGTTTTTACTCAACCCTTCGTTTTAACAAATACAATTAAAGACACAAAGAGCGAATGAAAAAAAATTGTTTGAACAAACTATAATAATTAGCATTAATAATAATTTTGTTTGTATGAAATAATTTAATATAGGTATGTATCTACCAATGATAAATTTTGTTTCGTGCTCTGTTGTTACAAAATTTGTTTAAAATGTCCTGACTGCTAATTGAGTTGGATTTATCACTCCCATTAATAATTATGATTATAAAATTGTAAAACTTCTCTTGGAACACATTTGTCTTGACAAAAAAAAGTAATCGGCAATGATATAATAAATAATAATAAACATTAGATAATATTACATAATACAAATTCACAGCCAATCTTTAAAACTTAAAAAAAAATAATTTAAGGAAAAGCTAAATCTATATTTGAGGGGCGCTAAGCCTTCGATATCTTATTTTAGTTATGCTAATCCGAGAATAAATAGTCATAGAAATTATGTGTTTGAGAAGTGTTATGTTAGGTTAAAGTAAATACAAATAAATGTATGAAAATATGAAATATTCAGAACACCATCAAATCACTGTCATAAAGTTTTCACTTACTTTATAATATAGTTAACAGTAGGTAATACACAATAATATAATTATTATTGATGCATATGTATAAGTTAACTGTTGAAAATTACCGATGAATAATAATAAATAGTTATTGGAAAACTATACAACACCTTCCTACTCCCCTAAGAATGATATCTCACTGAAATTATAAGACATACAAATATATGCATACACGATGTTTTCCAATTTAACCATTAATTAGTAGTCCATATTGAATACCTGCAATGTTGTAAATGTATAACATGGTGAAATCATTGAGAAATTTTATCTCCGTTAGTAATTTAAAAATGTACCGTAGGTGCATTTTCAAAGCGATGGCTAATGGTTTATGTCTGCAAAAATGATTGAAACTGATTTTTTGTTCGTAAAATTAAATTTTAAATCAATTACTGTGCAATATACGATTTACTTTCCATACCTACGTGTTATAAACATTTTATGACCTGTTTATTTGTTTTTTTTTTTCAAAGGGATATATAATGCACTACACCACTATACGACATTAATGCTAAATATATAAATTGCCTACACTAAGGATGTATAGATATTTTAGAATAAAGCGTAAATAACAAAGTGTAGAAATAACGGTACACAGCTGCTGTATTATTGGAAGTATATAGCCCCATAATATTGCAATATATTATTACCTATATTATTCTTATACATAGAGCTAGTCGGTTTGACGTGTGTATCTAATGTGTGTATATGTAAACTGATTGTGGCACACACACACACACACACACACACACACACACACACACACACACACACACACACACACACACGCACAGGTATAGTTTCATCGTCTTTTAACGCGGCAGTGGTCACTGGTCGTACCTTTAGCCGTTTTGACTATATTACGCAGTCGAACGAACCGTGAAATATCACCTTTATGCTACACCGCATTATGTTTCGAACGGAAACGAAATTGTGTACAGGTAGAGTTGCCTCAGAAAACTGCAACTATACTAAACGCATTATGCCTATGTTATAGCAATAGATCGGCATTCGTTATTTGTGTGTGTTTACAAGCACATTTTCGTTTTTGATTTTGCAGTGGGTATAATTATTATAGTAGTATTATGGTGATAAATGATAATAACATGTTGTATCTATATCTCGAATAGTATAGTTTAGCTCTATAATACGTTATCTATGACTTGTACATTAATGGGTCTTCGATCCATATGCACTTGTAACACTACTTTATTACAATCCTAATTATTATTTTTGTTTAATTTTATTTAATTAAGTTATTTTGTAAACATCAAGCTGTAGTAGTTGTTCAATTTATTAATTTTTTTTTTTTAATTTAAAGCTAAAAAAAAAACAACTTTAATACGTTACAACATAACATGCACCGTAGATGTTAAATTGTTATTTTATCTAATTTATGTTTATTGTTTATATTATAGTATTATTATTTGTTACTAGTGAGTACCGATAATATTGTTCATTATTATAATCCAAACTGTAAACATATGAGTATAATATACATATTGCATGCAAATGAATTTACAGTCCAGAAGTCACAAAATTGCTGGCGAAAATTGAACAAAGTTATTGCTGCAGCGTTGATAGAGTATACTATATTTTATTTTGGATATAAGAGCTCCTTCTCCTCTACAACTCACATTAGAGAATCGCCTCTTTTGTTATAAAAACATTTTTTTATTCATCAAGACATTTCAAAACTATATAGTGTGGTCTATATAAATTTTTCAAAAACGTTTGAATGTCTTAATAGTGTTTAATTTACTTTTAAATTATACACTGAGTTGTTCGAAGTCCCTATATTACAGCTGAAGAAATTAAATCAATTGACAAGTTTTCAGGATGAATGTGTAAAATATTGGTCTTTTATTACTTTATACTTGGATTAACAAAATATTCTTAGTAATTGTATTAATTATTATATCCTACTAATTTCAGTAATATCAAGTAATATCAAACTGTAGGTATTTAAATATTATACTAAAAAAAAACACCAAATAGCAACTTTTAGTTCATTTATTAAATGTATTACTATTTCATCTTTATTTTTAAACTACTAAAATATAAAATATAAAATATAAAATATAAAACATAAATTAACTCTTTCAAATATGAAATGAATAAAAATAGAATGAAAATTTAAAAAAATGCACTAAAAAAATTAAAAAGCATAAAATAATTAACTTTCAGGAAATTTACAATATCAATAAAAATAATTTCTAAGTTAATTAGTATAGGTAGGTACAGGTATTCAGTACATTTTACCAAGTTACAAAACAAAGTATAATAACCTTTTTGTCTTCATAATTGGTTTAATATTAATTTTTTTCTATTATTTAAACATGCAAATATCAAATCATATTAATTGTATTTAGGTACCTATTTAATTTGTTATATACCTCATATGGGTTGTTTTTTGTTGTTTAATTTATCGAATTTATTTTTTTCCTTTTAAAATGCTCAAAGTTTGGACGAGTTTATTAAATTCTATATTAAATCAAATATACGATTTGACCAAATGTTTGACATCAGTCTCTGTTTACGATTATTTTGCCTGATCTTTTGATTATTTGACGTTGAGACTTGTAACATTTCCATATTTTTACGATAATACAATAGGCTCCGGAAGAACCAAATAAATAAACCATTATTTACAATAAAGCATTACGATTTTCAAATCTAATGGACAAACAGTTTTAAAAAGTTGAAATTTGTATGCTTATAGCGCATTACATTTTTATAATTATATGTGTAAAGTAATCCAAAATAAATGATATCATTAATGATTTAATTTGTATGTAATATTTATAACTATTATTTATTACTTTGGTATCTTGTGTTTTATAGTGAGTTAATGCATTTTACAGTTCGCATGGAATTTTTCGTTACAGTTTAATATTTTAATCAGAATACAATTATCTACTTTAAAATTGAATATTAAAATACTACGTTTTTTTTTATTTTTTAGTATTATACAATATGTTAGTTGACATATAATATTTTTGATAATTGAATCAAAGATTGTAATTATTTTAATCAGTT